GGAATATATTCAGGTCTCACATATGGATTGAAGGAAGCTCGCGGAGCTCATGACTGGGTATTATTTTGTTTTTCCTCTGTTTATCTAATGGGATTAAATTTAATATCTCAACCTTAATACCTTCCCCCAACAAATGTGGCATGATTATTTTGTACCTTAAACATGTGGTTAGGGTTCGGACACTTTGTATATAGAAAAAAATTCTCTAGAAAGAGTTTAACTCTGCGTATGAAAAAAACATTTGTCAGAAAGAGTTTAACTCTTTGTATGGAGAAAAGCAGAGTTTATTCTTTAAATAGATTTTAGTAACTTAAGGGATTAGTCCTTAGTTTTTGGGTAGGAATATCTTGGTTTTTTTAATAAAAAAAACCTTTATACCTTTCAGGCTTGCCTTAAATATTTGAACTTATGCGGCAGGACAACACATCTGTCTCATGCTGCACTTTTAAATAGATGGATCGAAACAACAATACTAGGATATTTTGATCCCTTCTTTTGGACCTTTTTTACCTCTATAAAATTCATTCTCTCCTCATTTTCTGTGAACAATAAAATAAAATGGACTCCCTCTTTTTAAGGGATTTTTGTTGTGCTCTGCATAGTGCCCTATATCATCTATCTGGTTTTCACAACATAATAACACCACCATCTATTATGTTAACAACAACCATAGCATGATAATCCATGTGTATATGTTTGATGCAGAAAAACAGTGCGGTTGCGGGAGCAATCACTGGGGCGACCCTTGCACTTACATTGGATGACTCCACTCATGAACAGATCGTGCAATGTGCCATCACTGGAGCTGCTATCTCCACTGCTGCAAATCTTCTCACTGGGATTTTCTAAATGCTTCCTCTGTTTGGATTTCTTTTTGAGAATAGTTACTCTTTTTTTTTTTTTTTTTTTCTTCTCAATTATGTCAGTTATAAATATCTAAGATGGACTTGCCAGCACTTCCTTTCGAATTTTTAGTTATCAGTGATAAATTTCTTGTCAGGATTTTAATTTCTACCTTTCTTTTCTATGGCAACTTTTTTTCTCCTTAATAACTCTTCATCTCCAAGAATAATCAAACTAATCAAACTAGACAAGTCATGGTTTTTTGTCCACGAATGTAACTACTAAAGTACTACTATAATAAGGATATAGATGTCCTAAGTATTGTTTAATAGGATATCTAGACAGGGCAGGATCAAATACGACGTGTCGATTTAAACTTTTACACTAAATTTCATCCATCTATTTTAGATTAAATTTACTTAATAATGGTTTTAAATCCTCACGTGCCTTAACTATTTTCTCTTATTATCATTGGTTCTTGATCGTACACGCTCCTTTTCTCTTCCATCATGATTGTTGAATCCTCTGTGACTCTCAATATATATATATA